AAAAAAAAAAAAAAAAAGAATTCTGTGCCACTAAGATGCTGATGGAAGGTAAGGGAGCTATGAAACAGGTGATGGAAGAAGATAGGATTATCAACTTAAGCTTTGTGAAAAGCAAAAATTGCAGCAATTATGTTTAATGTTATAACTTTTTCACCTTTTTCTCACTACCTTATATGAGGAGCACTAGTGGTACTTAAATTCCATGTTCCAGGTCAAAGTATGATTTAATTATATGTCAACTTGTAAGGAAATGGTAGTTGAAGGGACTTTGTTTTCCTGCTATATTGAGAATATAACAATCTTCTAAACAATGGATAAAGGAGAATATTATAAGGTAAAAGAGGTGAACTGTGATGCATGTTCTTCCTTTATCCCTCCAGACTTACTTTCCGCCCTGCCCTGTACCCCAGGAGGTTGATGCTGATGAACTGAATCACCTGGGGTTTGTTCCTTTTGATTTGCAATTAGATTTGGACAAAGTGGAGAATTTTAGAGTGAAATACTGTCTCCTGGTTTTCCCCAATATGAGGGGTTTACTGGGATGTGGGACTTTCAGAGCTGTTCCAGGCAAAATGAAATGAGCTGGTTATCCTACACTTGGCTCCCTGCTTGCTGGGCCAGAAGCTGGGCCTTTTAGTAAAGGCCAGAGCTCCTATATAGTGGCTGCATCCCACAGCTGCACTCTTTAGGAGCTGGTAATCACTCTCTTCCCTTGTCACTTAAGGTAGTAACTGTTCCTCATTGGTGTTTGTCCCAAAGCTGTTCTTCACTTTCGTTGATTTCTGTAATCCTGCCTGTCCTTTTTATGAAATCCAGAATTACCACACTGGAACAATCCATTTGTTTCCTATTAGAATCCTGACTTTAATTTCCTTGTTTAATTTCTCCACAACCATTACCATTACCTGACAATATAATGTACATTTATTTATTGTTTCCCTACACTAGAATGTAAGTACCTGGAGGGCAAAGACTTTGTCTGTTCAGTTCAATCCCATATCCCCAGCACTTACAACTGGCATAGAGTAAATCCTCAATAAATAATATTATATGGCCAGTAATCAAGCTTGGATCTTATTAAGAAACATCAACGGGGCTCGGCGCCTGTGGCTCAAGCGGCTAAGGCGCCAGCCACATACACCTAAGGTGGC